TCAAAGTGAAACTCTGTTAATTTAAACATGTGACGTAGAGCCTCCTTCAAGATATGAAAGCTTTTCTTCCCAGGCCTCACAAGAGTCATAAGAATAATGTTACATCATTATCAGATCTCTATATGTAATAAAAAGTTTCATCCTTGCGTATGCATGGATAAAAAGATGCTCACAGTTTGAAGCATTATATTTAAAAATGTATAAACATGAAGTATACTACATTGTAATGAAAACTGTAATTTTTAGTCAGCATATACTTCAACAAACATTTTAATACTTGAATGAAGAAAAAGAATATAATGCATTAATGGTGTAATTATTTCACATCTTTCATTTTCAATGCCAATGAAAGTCAATCAACCAACCAATTTATCCAGCCATCCATACATCATGATGTCCCAATAAGGAAGAGATTGCAATTCATCATCATGAAGAATAGGCTGTGTAACAGGGCTACCATATGTTTCTTTCATATAAAAATGTTAATATAATGTGCCATGCTGCAGTATTCTTACGCAAAAACTAGCAAATGTGCCATAACCATTTCAAGGATGCAGAAACAGAAAAGGCTTTGAGATATTCCTAATATAATAAATTTAGAATGCAATTTCCTCCCTAAAATTTCTATGTCTTATTTGTGATGTAACTATAGTAAAATCAGTAAACCCTCAATTTAACTTGATCCCCTCTCCAATATCTCAACAACAGTCGAAACGGGGAGGAGGTGTACAGTTCTATGTGTCGGAGGTTCGCTTGGCCCACGCCCCAGACAAGGATTGTACTCAAACACAACAAAATACAACTGGCAATAAAACTATTTAATTTCTTAATACAAATGCCACATATACACATTACCAGGGGCCATTAACAGAAATTGTAGTTGAGTTTTAAGTTTATTGATATAATTTTACACCTGAAGATGGTTCGATGAAACCGAAACATGTAAAAATGTTCCAAATGTAAATCGATTATTCGATGTGGAACATAAAATGATAATTTAATTATCTTATTTGTAACTTTTAAATTTTAAATATAATTGTGATTAGACGGACAAAACCGAATAATTAATTTAATATTTTGATTCAGAATATGACGCAATTATACTATCTTAAGAAAACTCTTAATTAAAAGATATAAATATAACAAAGGCCCCACGACACGGCCCACTCTCGGCAATACACAATTTGTTTCCCCGACCTGGACAACCCCGAGGGACCGAGAATAACTCAACAACACAGTGGCTGCCCCGTCAACCAACAAAACAATTCAGTAACAATCTGGACGGGCAACTACTACAAGGAAGCACATACAAACCAATGTCCCCTCGAAGGGAGTGCCCAGCCAGGAAACATTGCCGACCGACCTTGTAGCTACAGCCAGAGAGAAAGTGAGAGACTGTCTGTGTTCTGGCGAGAAGGGTTCAGCCCCCATCAGTTCCCCCTCCAAAACCAGCTTAACCTCCCCGCATGCATGCGCACCCCTTTTGAAGACTCCCTGGTCCCAACCACAGAGCCAGCTCAAACTAACAATGCTAAACAACTGTGCAAATCAACTGACAATCATCATTACTGGACACCCCCTCCCAATAATTCATTAAACAGAGGGTTTACTGTATCTATTTATAAAATCATGATAGGTCTTACACACCGTCAAATATGTTAGTACCATCAAACCAGTAACAAAGCAGAAATCAACTATCTTACTTTGAACGCATGATGTGGAAAATACCAACCCTTCATCGTTTTTCAGAAAGGAGTTGCCAGAAATTCTAATGGCCTTTTTGGAGTTCTCCCAGATAAAATAAAAACTGTTCTACATACTCACCTCAAGCTAAAGACTCCTTTAGGTTGAACATGATGCTTGGCAACATGAGGTAATAATAGGCCAGAGTCCTAAATGAGAGAAAGTTCATACTTTTAGATTTGACAGAAACATCGAGTCCTGATGGCAGAAGAACAGTTATGGTACCTTGGCTACAGGTCACATTTCGTTCTGAACTGACTCTGACGATCTGGGCTGGTACCTGTGAATGTAACAAACTCCTCTCTCTGTTCATTTTGCAGGTGATACAAAAACTAAATGATATGCCACTGACCACATTTTCAGAGTCTGAGACCTTGGGTAAGATGGCCAGAGGAGTTATAGACAATATTTTTACATCTGAGGACAAATATCTGCTGGCTTAAAAGTGGTGTTTATAAATTAATTCAGATACAGTGTTCTTTGCCTATTTATTAGTCTGGATACAGCCCAGTTGTTAGTTGAATTTCATGAACAAAACACATGCTGTCTGTTCTTACAGCGGAAGTGCAAATCCACACAAGCTTTACAACATTCCACCTCCTTACAGCTTTTATCTGTATGAAAACATGTAGGGGATTTGAACAACAGGACAGCCCTGATTTTGCAATATATGGTTCAAACCAAATCTGCATGCAGTTTAGTTTGTTCAACCTCATAATGCCAACTTAATGGAGATAAGTTTGTAACTTGAATGCAAGACTCTTTCCGCTCTGAAAGACATTGTTCATAACTGTCTTTTATAGAGGTGGATGCATCACAGATGTCACTGGTATATAACAAAGCACCAAACGTACCAAAATTGTTAAATTTTCTGTCTTTACGCCAAGCATAATATCTGCTTTGTCTTCTCTACAGGGCCAATGGCCAACAGATTGTGCTTATACTGTCTTGGAGAACATAAAGACTACATGTAAGATTTGAGGTTTACACAGCGGTGAGTATGAAGATTTCTGTCTTCTAGGTTGTTGCGCCATGTAGTCTGGTCGATGCTAACCAACATTTCAGAGGTCATACTGCCTCCGTCATCAAGGCCCTGATGACGGAGGCAGTATGACCTTTGAAACGTTGGTTAGCATCGACCAGACTACACGGCGTAACAACCCAGAAGACAGAAATCTTCATAAAGACTACATATTTGAGGTCTGCTGGGTTGTTGCGCTGTGTAGTCTGGTCGATGTTAACCAACGTTTCAGAGGTCATACTGCCTCCGTCATCAAGGCCCTGATGACGGAGGCAGTATGACCTTTGAAACGTTGGTTAGCATCGACCAGACTACACGGCGTAACAACCCAGAAGACAGAAATCTTCATAAAGACTACATATTTGAGATTCTTATGGCAGTGAAGATGTGTTGATCTCTGGGTTGTAATGCTGCATGGACTTGTAGGTAGATGCAGTGGACCCCAGCATAACAAATTTTTGTTTAATAAATTGCCTTACATAGGCCCCAATAACTCACATAATTAATTTTTCCTGTATAATAAATTGCTTACAAAGTCATAGTGTCGTCAATTTCAGACAATCAGCAAAGCCCATTTATAAACATCGAGCTCAACTGCCTTTTCTTATTTTCCTGTTTCGGTTGTGGAAAGAGTTCTCTTACAGATTGTGCTTTGATCACAATGGCCCCTGAAGGTGATTTTCAAAAGAATAAAAAGTGTATGAGAGGCATAATCCTTAACACAAAGCAGGAAATCATCCAGAAGTCCAAAGAATGGGGCAAAAGAGGCATGTAGCAGGAGTGCTAACCACTTCAGCAATGTTCACAGCCATAGTCAAATTCAATGACGCATATATATAATGACTATTTGGTTTACTTAGATGTTATCATTAATGGATAAAGGAAACCTCAAAAAATTTTACTTTCTCAGAACTAATAATCACACCAACTTAATTTATTAATGACTAAGTAAAATTGCAAATTATCATACTTTGTGTTGTGAAAACATTATCCCGTGCATAGGCAGTAGTTCTGTGCCCATCGTTTGTCCCACTGACCAATAAAATTCAGATGTTCTGATAAGCATCACCATAAGCTGGTACACTCTCTCTTATTTCCAGTCCTCTGCCTCTATCTCATCATTGCTGACACAGATACTGAGTGACTACTGTACTCTACCTGAAATTAGATTAATCTGACATCAACAAGCAATGTGCGACACTATGCACAGCATTACTGAGTGTAACAAAGTCACTACTGTCTATGAGGCACGAGAGTAGACGTGGCCTTGTCAGCCGTTGCATATGTGGCAGGGGGAAAGTGGGTTATGCACATGCGCTGGTGATGTATTCCTTACCTAAGAACATTGTGTTATCAGTCAGTCAGTTACGCTGTGTTGAAATCTCTTGCAGTTTTATGTCTGAATAAATAAATGCATTTACTCACTATTTTTAGCAAATTAAAATTCACAGGAAATAAATTAATTATGGTAGGCAGAGTACATTAGCTCACGACGTACAGCCTGCACAAGCTGCAGGTGTTTTTCGGTCCGCTAGTAGCACGGAATTCTACCCCACTGCCTCAAAGATGTCAGGTCTACTCTCATGCCTCGCGGACAATAAAACCAGTGTCTTTTGAAATTAAACAATATTTAAATCTGGTTCATACTTGACAGAAAATTTATTTGGTTCACTCTCCCCTTTTCAGTTCTATACGTCATTGGTTCACTTGGCCCACGCCCCTGTAAAGAGTGTACTCAAAACACCGCAAAGTACAATTAGAAACAAAATCATTTACTTCCTTCAGACAAATTGTAATACATACGCGTTACACGGGGTCATTGATTACCCTATTACAAACAAAAAAACTCACAAACAAAACATATAAGAACAAAACAAAAGCCCCACGACTCAGCTCGCTCTCGGCAACACTCCAATTCTTCTCCCCGGCCTTGACCACCCCGAGGGACCAAAAATAATAACCCAAACACACGGTGGTTGCCCCGTCCACCAACATAACAAAATCAATACCTTCTGGATGGGCAACTACAATGTGAAAATAAAATACAAACCACGGTCGTCTCGAAGGGGGGGCCCAGTCGGAGAGATGTTGCCAACCGGATCCGTAGCTACAGCCTGAGTGAGCGTCTGAGTGCTGGCGAGAAGAGGTCTCCCCAAATCAGCCCCCTCTCCTAAACTGGCCTAACCTCCCCACATGCATGTGCACCCCTTTCAAAGTTTCGCCGTTGCAACATCAGAGCCGAATGTAGTCGGCTCAGATTGGTTACCATGATGTAACCTACAAATGAGATTCTAGCAATGTTTTAATTTCTTCTTGAAATTCAGGTGCAGCTACATATGCATGTGGCTAACATTCACACAAACACAGTATTACAATAGTAAACATGTGTAACTGATAAAACAACAAAACATAAATGTTTACAAAAATCTCAATTTCCTTTCAATTACAATTTATTACAAATTAGGATATATAATATGAACAAAAAAGTACAAATTAGCAATATGTTATATTACTATTAAAAACTGAATGTCACTAGCTGAAGTGATTTCTTCACAGGCCACATCAAGCCTCAGGGCAATAGTTGCTCTAATTTAATATGGTTTTTGTTTACAAAATTTACATAAATAACATTTGGCTGAGCACCAATAGGAGACTTAATTTTTACGACCCAATTGACATTCTGGTGACACTAATCATAACCATAAAAAGGAGCTTCCAAGTATGCTTTATACATGTCCATTGAATTCCTACGAATGCGGCGTCCAATGGGTTCCAGATCATCGTAACATCTGCTAAAAACACGATTCACAGCAGCCGCAGCCTCCTCCTCCGTCACATTGCGAACAGCTAGTACTGACTGAACAGCCTTTGTTTTCACACACTCCTGTAACAATAACATTATTTCAAGGACTATCTTTCAAAAGCATATTCAGTTATGTTTTGTTATGTATCTACTATAGAAATAAGCCATCACAAACTTCATCATTGTTACATAAATTCTATATTAAAATATCTCCATTTTAACTATCAGATGACACAGAATTATGCCCAGTCCAAATAAGTGCGATAATCTCACAAAATATGAACACTGACAAGATCACGTACATATTATGAATCACCATCCAATTCTTATAACGACAACACAATGGTAACAAACAGTTGATCTCTTGCAGTTCAGCATTTATAAATATTAATTCCTTTAATAGCAAGAAGAGGAAACACTATAAAGTTATAGCTCATGCACTTTTAAATTCTCAAAGTACACAGCAAATAAGTTCTATAGCCTAGCACTGGCTATATTAACTTACAGTCATGTTTCTTATTCCCATAGTATTCCTGCTAACCAAACAAATTCAAAAAGGTATCAAAACAGACTAAATGTACATAATTCTGTACATGGGTCAATAAAATTTACTGATTTTAAGGGGGTGCACTATGCTGCATGCACATTCAGAAAGTGCTGCTTTGATACAGGTGATTACCACTATAATTATGACTTCAGATCTTACGTTGATCCAAACTTCTCCAGCATTATAATAAAGTAATTTGACCTATAAGACTGGAAGAGAAAAGAACACTTTTAGAAGAATGGTTCCACCATTGTGAATATAATCAGGTCAGCCATCCAAGCACAAAGTTAGTCACCCAGTTACAGCTACAGTGCCTTCAAGCAGAAATTCTGCTGTTCTGTCTCGTGTAATTACAAGAAAGTTAAAGGAAGGTAGCTTTAAAAACATTCAATATATCACACTCTCAAAGTGACAACAAAGAACATGGCACATGCAAAGTTACAGAAGTCAAAGAGAACATTTCAGTTTCGGTATAAAAGGTACAGCAAAACACCTAAATAAAACTATGGACACTCATAAACTGCTTTTAACAGAAAATAAATTTGAAAACAAATCAGCATTAGAGCATGAAAATCATTATATTTCAAACAGTTAATATCATAATACACATTTAGCTTAATTCTTGCCCCTCTCTCTACCGTCAAAGATTGTTTCACCATTAGGACAACTTCATTCTGTCCATCAAATCACAACACAGAACACAACATAGTAGTGAAAATCAGTTGCATCAAATAAAACACAAGTAGCCTTCAGTGAAAAAGACCACGTTCCTAAATATGCAAAGCAGTTTTCATGGTGTAAAGAAACAGAGAGCAGAGTTCAAATATGGCTGACAACATATGTGGCATAAAGACAAATTACCAAGATATCTTTTACAGAAAAAGTTAATCCACTGAATCAAAACTGTTTTAACAGAATAAGTGTTTGTTATTTATGTTTATGTTGCAAAACTATTTCCAAACAAAAAATTCAAGTATTCAACCAGCACAGAAATCATGAGAATTGTATTTGTCACACAGATAGGTAAAAGTATACTTAAATGTATATTTTACAATCATACCTGATGCTGTTGCTGTATTCTGAATGGAGATGCATCTCCCTGATGCCATGCACTAAGAAAACTGCAATGAGTCAGATTTGCAGCTCGTATTTCTGTACATGCCAAGTGATCAACATTCCTGAAGTCAAGTGTATTGCGGCAGTAGTCAAACATATGAATCATTTCATGTGTCAGAACACCCTGTACCATTCCCTTGCTTCTGGCCACATTCTGACACACCACCACCTGGTAATTACAACAGGATACTGATGATAATATGCAGCCTTATATGGGGAAATAAATAAAAATAATTAAAATGAGTTTAGTACAAAAGCAATGATAAAGCTGTGAAAAACAAAACTTCAAAAACAGCTACCTGATTGAGTAACGGATCATAGCCTCCACTAACTGAAGGATCACATACTTCACAGGCTATATGTCGCCTCAAATCAACTGCACTGCAAAGAAAGTAAATAAATACTCATTGCCCTGATGATGGAGGTAGCAAGAACCTCTGAAACACTGATAAACTTCTACCAGAAGACAGCCATTTTCAGACACACTCAACTACTGAACCATGAAGGTGCCACAGACTGGAACCAACTGCATACTGCTCTGACAAGCTTTCCTCTACTTTTATGTTGTTCACCTCCCATGATGGATGAGTGATTAGGCTTTAGGAGAACGGGGACATACTTTAGAAATGGAAAATGCCTAAGGGGAAAATATGCCCATTTTAAAGGTATTCCTTGCACATGTGAAGCACAAACTTGAATAGGGAACAAGGCAGATGCTAGTAGATTAATGGCAGCAAGATGTAATTTTTAATATGTACAGAAGGAAATACCAAATGACATATAATAAAAAAAACTAAAGAATTACAGAAAGCCAAAAATTAAACACTCTGAAAGACTAACAAGAACAGAACAAGATTATATGGGCATGTTTTAAGAATGAATGAAGAGAAAATTCAAAGGCAGCTTTAAACACGAAAGTGAAGGAAAATGTCCAAGAGTGACCAAGATGAAGATGGAACCACAGGTTAGGAGATATGCCAAGACACAAATGGATGGAAAGGTTTTGGTTCACTCAGCAAGGAAACACTGATTTAATTTTTCTTATTTTATTATTATTCATCACTAAAAACATAAAAAAATTTGTATTTGTCTCAGAATGTAATGGCTATCTAGAAACATACATATCACACAGAAAGGTAACATCACTATCACATAATGCTGATAAAGAGTTTGTTCACAAACTTACCATCCTGAACTCTTCAAAGCAACAAGCATCAACTTCACAAGTGGACCTGAAAACAAGTCATCTGGTGTTACAAATGAAACACATACATTCCCCACAAAGTTGAAATTCACCTTTGACATCAATAAAAGTGGCATAAAAGATTAACAGAGTCAGGAACAGTATTCTAATAAAGTGACTGATTATTATTTCAAAGTCCTGCACAAATCAGCCTTGTCTTCACTTGACCTGTACAGTTGACATGTAACAGTTTCATGCTGGTTCAAGAAAGTACAATTCCCTCAATTACATTTCATTTTAAATTTAACAATTCACAACTGAACAAAGAGAAATAGGTATTTCATTTGAATTTTAATTCCAGAGTTCCAGTTATTATCTCATTTAGAACCTGACTACATGGCACAACAACCCAGAAGGCAGCCATCTTCAAATTCACCACCATGAAAACCTCAAATTCTACAAATAAGGAGTAGCCAATGTTTGTGTTCTTACATAAACAAAACTTAAAGAAAAATTTATACCCATTCACCTCAAGTTTTCTTTACATGACAAACCAAAAGAATCATGGAATGACTTAGAAGTCACAGAAATACAGATAAGACAGGGGTGCTGTACCAATTATCTGCCATGTGCCAGAGGCTGAAATATCCGGCAAACAAGTGAGCACAAGAACTGACATAACAATAGACTTGAAATTAAATCTCATTTAGCCCCTCGTGACTAACTCTGATTATGTAAGAAATTTAAAACACACAAATCTCCGAACTATGTAAATGGTCAACCAGAAAAATAAAACACAGACTACTTTATACAGAGACTAACACTGTAAAATATGTATAAAAAACTGTAAAGGTGTACTTTTTGGAATACTGACATTAAAAAGGTGTTCTTCATGCCACAACACTCAGATCACTATTGCACTGTGATCAGAGGTTACTGTTTGTCAACAATATGTTCCAACAATCACCTTGGCCCCCACTGTTGTGTAACATTGTATTTCGGTTGCATTGATGCAGTTTGATGACATTGCAATGTGTTCCAACAGAGATCTGTTCCCCATGCCCCAATCAAAAGACCAGTTCCCACTGGTGTATAATAATGGCATTAATCATGTGGGTTGCCTACCTCCTTGGAAAACTGCCACAGACGGAAAGACATGGATGGGTCCATAAGGTGAAGCATGAAGAACACTTAATCAACTCAAAAGCAAAGGAATTATGAGAACAGGGTCTTACCACTTATGTCATGCATATCAACAAGTGTCCACTTGGTAGCAATGAGACAAAGAATTATTGTAGTATTTACTAGCACAGTATTTTATCTCAAAATGTTGTAGTAAAACAAGTTCGGTATACAGAACTGCACAAGGCAATCAGCTGCTGAAACACAACTACCAATACTGTCTGCCTTATAGCTACACATGATCTCTGAAAAAATTTCCAGGGATGGGTTACTTTATGTCAGCACCACAAAATTCAGTTAGTCTGTTGCTCATTCTAATATTTACGGACTGTAACAGCAAATGGTATCTGAATGACAACAAGAATGCACAGAAACTGGCAGCTCTTCAGTAATGGATACAGCAAATCAACACACTTACTTTCCCTTATACCGCGTCTACAATTTATGAGGCTGCGGTCATGCTTGGATTGTGTGGTCGTACGGCGCTCTGTTGATGTGGGCAGGAGATTTGCGCGTTCTTCCCATGAGTCACAGGCGAATCAGTTTCATTGCGTCTCTCGTAGCGGATTGACGATGATAATATGATGTATAGTATTAAGCAACGTGTGTTCTTAGTTGAAACATATGCCAAATATTCATCCTATGGAAGATGCCGCCGTAAATTTCGCAGACATTTTCCTGGTGTAAGTGTTCCTAGCAAGTCCATGATAGAGAGATTAGTAAAAAAATTTTGTAGTATGGGATCAGTCTTGGATGAAAAGAAGAACAGGAAACAGAGTGTATTATTGGACGAGAAATTGGGGATTTCTTAGAAAAAAAGTCCAAGGAAATCTTTGGCATGTTTAGCAACACAATCTGGCGAGTCATTGGGATCTGCTCACACAGCAACGAGACTACTGAAATTGCGACCACTCACAAACCCTAACAGTGGTGTTAGGATTCATTTCTGCAATTGGTTGTTGGCATCAGTGCATGATGGGATTGTTTATTCAGAGCTATTGTTTTTTAGTGATGAAGCATGGCTGCATTTAAGTGGATATGTCAACACTCAAAACAACCGCTACTACAGTTCCAAAAATCCACATCAGTTGCATGAACATCTTCTTCATGATATTATGTTGGAGTCTGGTGTGCAGTTACCTCCAAGAAAATAATAGGGCCAATATTTTATAATGAAACCATAAATTGTGAACATTATGTAAATTTAATACTTAGACCCTTTTTCCAAGAAATGACCGAGGAAGAAAAGACTTACGGTTTCTTCATGCAAGACAATGCTACAGCTCACACAGCTGATCGGTCGATGTTAGCATTAAGAGAAGTGCTTGGTGAACAAGTTATCGATCAGTGGCCTCCGCGTTCCCCAGACTTAAACCCGTGCGATTTTTACCTGTGAGGCATGCTGAAGAACAAAGCTTATGTAAACAATAAGCACACTGAAGAAGAACTTAAAGAAAATATTCGACAACTGATTTCGGCAATTACCCCAGAAGAGCTTCGTCGAGTATTTTGAAACATGTTAACGAGATGTGAAGCTTGCCTGCAAGCACAAGGAAGTCACTTTGAACATCTTTTATGATTTAAGGTAAGAACAATTAATGTAATGACATGTATATTAGTGACGAGAAATATTTGTAGTTCACTGTTACTAGCGGCACTGAAACTGATTTTCCAGTCACCCACCGGAAGAACGCGCGCAACTCCCACCCACATCAACACAGCGCCAGCCAACCACGCAATCCAAGCACGACCGCAGCCTCATAAATTGTTGACCCAGTACTATTCTGTGACTTAGTGATATGACCTAATAAAACAATTTCCACATGAATAAATATAACATGAATATACCAGTACCAAAATGATTTCTAGAAATGCAAATAAGTAGCTGGTCAAACTGTACCAAACTAACATGACTGTGTAGCAAAGATCACCAAGCCATAAACCCTCAGACATTTTGGTGCCCCAGAAAGCTTTCTTGATACCTGCAAGAATTTTAAAATATTCATAACTGACAATTTCTAAGAAAATAATTTTTAGTAGATATCTCTTGTGAGACATAAGCGCCAAAACAGTGTTATCCAAAATGTAGTAATGTGAGAGAACAAGGTACAAGACACAAATCTATTCATAATTTGATTACTTCATTTCACATCTTTTTAGACTCATATGGTACACACTGCAAGTTATAAGCTTCTTATAATTTCCTGACACATGAAAAGAAGTTGCCAAAACCCAGTGTATTTTAAACATTGGTGAACAGACATAAACAGCAGACTGTTGTTCTCCTTACCGCTCCATCTCATTACACAATATTCTTCCTGATAACCAAGAAAATAACTGATACAATTTAACAACCCATGCAAGTTACACGTAACAACACAAACCCAAGATGAGAACTTCTTGGGTGATCACTCACGTGAGGACAGAGTTAATAACTGGATATTAACTCCATTCCCATAGGGCTCATCACCCACTTCACTGCATTCAATTGCTGTGAAAGCATTAAAATCTTAAACAAAAATACTATTTAACAAAATAACAATTTATCTAAATTTTAGGCTCTAAGAGAGGTTTGCTGGGACTTAATTTCCATTTCTGAGTCACTGCATCATTTTGTGGTGGGATCATATGCAAATATATTATATAATAAGAATGCTGTTAAATTCTTTAAAACACTAAGAAATCAAAGCACCATAACAGTGTAATTACTCAAAAATGGAAAAATGTTATAACTTCTTTGTTGTACATCTATAATTGTGTACAAAGATGCAATAAACTGAGCAACTGAAGGTTTGCTACCCATGTTTGTCACTTTCTTTACCATTTTAAGAATGGAAATATCTAATTCTGTCCAAATATAAAAAAATAATTTTAGTTTGAAAGTAAAATTATAATTATACCAGACTTCAGAAGTAGGCACCAGATAACACTGGGCATTATATACAAATTATATTCTCAAGTCCGGAGAGAAGGCAGGTGCCTCCTTGTAAACTGTCATCCCAGTGGTAAAAAAATTCTAATTATTTAACTATTCATGTGAGACTGGAAGAGAATTTCTCAAATGTCAGCAATTGAGACAACACACTTCTGAAGCAAGTTTCAACTGTGAATATATTAAAAAACATGGGTAGCCTAACTGTACCGACAAGAGAATTACGTACTGTTTTTCACACAATTGTAGACATTTTCTTCACATCTCAATTTGTCTAAATTTTCTTTGCCTTCACCACGAAATATCACTTTTGCCCAACTTGGTTTGTACTTTTCCCCACGTCTTTCTGGATACAAATCATAACCCCAATTTGCTGGATCCGATACATTATTCTTCTCATTCGTTGACTTCACTGGCGGTGATTCAGAATTAACATTTAGCGGCTTGTCTGCATCAGGTATGATTTCTTCTGTAATTACTGAACAGTAAGCTGAATAAACCATAGTTCAAAAGAAAGAACACGCTTTCCAAAGACAGACTTCCTACACCTGTAATTTTATTTCATAACAAGCACTGATTCAGAAGGTACTGACAAATGAAAGCTATGGAAGGGATGAAACTTACAAAACATAAATCATAAACTTTCCTTTTACATATATACCAGTACCATATGCACAGTCTTCTACCCAGCAGTACAAAGAATGAAGAACATCTCCAACTGATAACACCAAAACATACAAATACGTCGGTAAACTCAACTTTAAATGTTGGCAGCGAAAGTGGTCTACGACGGTCTAGGCGACTACCGACATCTTTCGTGATTAGTGTGTTCTTCAAGCAATTCCTTCGGCTTCAACAGATGTCGCGCGCGTCCATTATAGATACAACCCCCGTGAATTACCACGAATTGGTACCCAAATATTTTTCACACAAACGCAGATAACCTGAAATACTTCCATAAAAATAAATCAATCAAACATTTCCTACCTGAAATGTACTGGTCAATTTTTCAAGTAAACTATATTACGCACAAAAAAATCTACTTGACTGTTACTTTCGGCATTGCCCATCTTCATTATTTGTTAAAATCCATAATGTTTCGAAGGCTGGATATGCCTCCATCATCAGATATAAGTTTGGAGAAAAGGGCGGCTACTCTAGTTGGTCCTTTGAACAGAGTGTGTGTCTATTAGTTCAGTGTGCGTTTAAATCATGGGTAATATATCTTCTGACCTAGCCAAGGCATTTGATTGTGTTAACCATGAAATATTACTAATGAAACTGAAATTTTATGGAATTTGAGGTATAGCAGGACAATGGTTTAAATCCTACCTAAATAATAGAAGGCAGAAAGTAGAAATTAAAAGCCCCCATACCAATCATAATACCTATTCAGGTTGGGGTATCGTAAATCACGGAGTGCCACAAGGTTCAGTTCTTGGACCCTTACTTTTCCTCATATATATATAAATGACCTGCCGGCAACTATAAACTCTATATTCAAACCTATTCTTTTTGCTGATGATACAAGTATCATTATTGCACACCAAGAATTGATCTATCTTGAAAATATCATGAATGATGTCTTTGCCAACATAAACAAATGGTTTAGAGCTAACAAACTGGCACTAAATTTTGAAAAAACAAACTTCATAAAATTTGTTACTAAGCACAAGACATATCCTAGATTAAATATAGGTTTTGAAGAAAAATTAATTGTGGAAGTTGAAACAAACAAATTCCTTGGCTTACAAGTCGACAGTACCTTAAATTGGAAGAAACACATTGAGTATATTATTCCCAAATTAAGCTCTGCATGCTTTGCCATGAGAACAGTCGTACCACTCATGACAATAGATACTTTAAAGCTAGTTTACTTTGCTTACTTTCACTCTGTATTGTCATATGGATTAATCTTTTGGGGAAATTCAACAGACAGTAATAAAGTTTTTTACATGCAAAAGAAAATAATTAGAATAATGGCCGGTGTCAAAAGCAGGGTATCTTGTAGAAAATTATTTCGTAAATTTAATATACTTCCACTTGCAAGTGAATTTATACTCTGCTTGCTATCATTTGTGGTGGAAAACATGGATAAATTTAAAAGAAATACAGATGTACGTAATTTAAATACAAGACGTAAACATGATCTATATGTGCCAAATGTTAACTTTACTAAATATCAGAAAGGAGTGTACTATACAGGTATCAAGTTGTTTAATAATCTTCCACCAACAATTAAAAGTCTAAATTATGATATAAAGGTATTCAAGCCTGCATTGAAAGATTACCTCTTTACTCACTCCTTCTATTCTGTAGATGATTTCATCTCTGCTGAAAATGTTTAAGCTTTATATCCATAATCTATGTATATGTTAAAGCAAGTTTTGTATTTATATTTAAAATTCTGAGGTTTATGTATATTAATTTGTAAAATTATTTTTCATACTTGTATTGCAGAATCTGAAATTTATGTACATTGATATGTGAAATACGTTCTTGTACTTGTGTTGAAAGTTCTGAAGTGTATGTATATTGTATGAAATGACATGTTCTACATCCTTTGGTTGAGTCCTAAGAAGGATCTATGGAATGTAAATAAACTCTACTCTACTCTACTCTAATTGCAGAGATCTGAAAATGGAATTACCTGCATCACATCTAACTATAACTGCAATGGTAATCAGGTGAGGTGAAGTGTACAAATTTAAGAACCAACCACATATAATATAATTGTATCTGATCTTGATTGTAAACTTGTCTTCTCAGCCAAATTCAAGTTTGTTATCCCCTTAATGGTACTGAATATTCCTATGAGCTATGAAAACAATGGTTACACATATTTCTGCAGGCTGAAAATCACATCATAATTAGGTTATTCACATTTTGTTTGCAATGGCAATTTAAAGTTCTTTCTCTGCAATATTCAATGCTCTGAAACCCCTCTCAAACGAGACAACTGAGTAGATAATGCTGCTATCACAATGAGAAGTTTGCTGAGTTTTGTACAGCAATTTTTGAGTAAGTAAAATTTCCCTAGCACTCAGTAGTTTCCACTTTTCTGCCAATTATAAACACCTTATCAACATGAGTGGGTAATAGTTCCACTGACTGGTTTCCAGTGCTTTGCCTGTACCAAGTGACAATTTCCATTTTTCCATAATTTTAATCTTCCCATAAGACACTATGTAACTCCTTAATTCAGATGTCCTTTGTGAGAAAAAAGGCCTTGTCAACACTTGCACTGAGATACTGTAACTGCATTTCTTAGACAACATATTTTAAAAAAACTGATATATATATTACATCATCCACTTTTATTTAGATATTTATATTTTAAGGTTCTGTAGAATGAATTACCCCCTTAACATGACCATCCATAATGTTGAGGCAGGGATTCTTTATCTGTAAGCTGAGATACCTACAAGCAAGAACCATTTAAAATGCAACCTGACCACAATCACAAACTATGGTACAAAATTGAAGTCAGGTCTTAAATTTTAACTTGCCATAGGGTGCATGTCCGTGGGAAGTTTTCATGCCTGGCAATCAATGATGGAAAAATGTAAAACAGGATTTCAGGAATTTATTCTTGGTATATATTAAGATTGTAACAAAACATTTGAATGTTATGGAATCAGGATCAATCCTTTTACTTTCAAGTATCATCAATCTGCCTACTATATCCTATGAGCCTTATCTTCTTTTAGAAACTTTACTACAATTAAGAAACACAATGCCAACAAAGAATTTTATTTCAGCACAACAATGTAATGAATTATTATAATAATACTGTATGTATGGAGAAAACTGGAAATGCTTTAATCATGAGTGACAAACTGAAAAACTATGACACTGCTGTAAAAGACAATTCCAGCTTTTAATTTACTTTTATCAATCATTGTACTTATGCAAATGTACCATTTTAACATTTTTACAATACAGGTCTATTTTAAACAGGAAACTTGTCCACATTTCTAGATTACTACTGAACAGTCATAATTACATAATTTTATATACCCGTGATTGAAAGGCCAAATTTTCCGTATGTTTTTGTTTAACAGTTTAACACCTTCAAAGCATAACATAAGAAACTGCATAGAAAAACAGGAATTAAGATCCTTGGTGGCTTACGTTGCAAACTGTTCACTTCTTAACTGACTACAGCTACTCAACTGTATTTTCCAGAAACTGAGCAACTAATTACTATTAAATATAAACAAGAAATTAAACTACAGAAGTGCATCTGATGATGAAACTCAGAAGGATACTTATTTACCAGAGTTTGTTACTTACACACTTAAAATAAAACAATTTATACTATGATCTTACATAACATTAACATCACCATTTGGATACATTATAAATCTTCAATTCCTTCCTTATCTCTCCGTTCAAAGCTATTTCAGCTTCTGACATGTCACTCCAGCAAATGGGAGCTGAAAACAGTGTGCATGTGTCCTGTGAGGCTCATCTTACATATGGGTTCTAATCTATTTTGTAATAGGCAAAACAACTTACATTTTATCTGGATAGTACCAACTGTAACTGATGGTTAACCTTTAAAGGCCTAGCATCTTTTAAGAAATGGCTCTGGTATCCCTAGTTGGCCCACCACACACTTGAATTCATGGTGTACATTCCATCATGTAACATGAGATTGTGATCTTCTATTGAGTTATCCATGAAAGTAATGTCAGTGTACTCTGAAAGAATGACTGTACAATGTTGATAAATTTTGATGTCAAAAGGACCCCTTTCTCTTCTTTTATAATTTTTTTTACATAACCTCCCTTAACAATTAACAGCTAAGTGTTGAAATTATATCACATTTGGCTATGCTCTGTAACTTTAAAAAAAAAAAACACTGAGCACAAGTTTGCAAAGAGTTTCAGTAACTTGATCTGAAAGGGTATAACTGTACTACTGATTTTGCACTGATAAGCAGTACTGAAACATTTCAATATATTTTTTATTTACTTGTAGGCTGATTATAACATTATTTTTACAATGCAGTTCCAAAGACACACATTTGTGTGCTTCACTTAGGGATTCTTTAAATACTTTGTTATTAATTTTCTGTATAATTTATGATTTCATCGAAGCAACAAACTCTGTAAGGGTTCATGTCCTTTACTGGCATGCTAGTATGTGCCTGTTCTAAGTTAGTGGTTTATTTCACCGTACCTTTGTCATTGGTGTGTGGTCTACTGTTATGGACAAATGTCTGCTGTGTATTTGCATTAGTTTCGTATTTACATAACAAAATGAATTAACAATATAAAAGGAGCAGGTACCTTGTAAAGTCTCTGAGTGAAGAAAATACAGTACAAAGACTGTATCTAGATCAGGATTCAGGAGAGAAGCTTGTACATGAAAAGTGAACTTTTTGAAATATAAATTTTATCTGATTCAAAAGAGAAATTATCATAATAGCTTTCAGATGGTGATACATGGAGAGCAGTAGTAATAATATTAGACAGGTAGAATGATTTATAAGCTGCAGTGTTGGGCATCAAGGTTTATTCTTATTCCACTGAATACCAAAAACTTTTCCTCATATAGTTTCTGGTCACATTATTGGGGAAATCAAATCTGTACTGCTGTTAGTATGGAATTATTCAAAACACTTCTGTTCATATTTTAATATTATGCTGATAATACAACCATTCCCTGCCCCTATATGTCACCTAGAAAGAAAAGCATGACTTTCTGTGAAAGCTGAGATTATGTACTTAATT